AGCTTGTCAAATTTAAAACCTTAAAGAAGTAATGAAAAGCAAAAGCAAAAATTTAGTGCAGGCCTGCAAAAAAAGTAGGTTCAAGGATGTGCTTAATGAGGATTCCTGAGTACTTGTAAACAGCAATTGGCAATGTTTTAAAGGTAGAATAAGGCTAGGGGTTTAGCTCAGCGGCACAACACCTGCCTGGCAAGTGCAGGGTCATGAGTTCAATTCCTGGTACTGGAAAACAAAACAAAACAAAACAAAAAAGACATGGAGAGTTTTGGGGCTGGGGATTTAGCTCAGCGGCAAAGCGCCTGCTTGGCAAGTGCAAGGTCGTGAGTTCGGTTCCTGGTACCAGAGAAAAACCAAAAATAAATAAATAAATAAAGGTAGAATAAGGACATTCATAGAAAGAAGGAGAAAGACAGGATGAGAAGGAGGGAGGATAAGGAGAAGAGGAAGAAGAGGAGGAGGAGAAGGGGGAAGAGAGGGAGAAGTAGGGTAAACAGACATATATCTTAGTCTATTCAGGCTACTAGAACAAAATAAACAGGGCAACTTATAAATAACAAAAATTTACTTCTCACAGTCCTGCACACTGAGAAATTCCAAGATCAAGATGCCAGATATTGAAGTGTCTGGAGAGGACCTTCTAGCTGTGTCCCCTGAAGGTAGAAGGGGCAAGCTTGCCATCCGGGGTCTTCTTATCTACATTGCTCTGGTCTGAATATTTGTATCCTACAAGAATTCATATGTTGAAATTCTAACTTGCAAGGAGTTGGTGTAAAACAGGTGGCGTTGGGGCTGGGATGTAGCCCAGCGGTAGAAACCTTCCTTAATGTGCATTGAAAAAAGGAGAAGGAGAGGTACGGCCTTTGGAGGATCATTAGGTAAAATACTGAGAAAAAGGACGGGATTGTCTAAAAGGATACAACAGTGAAATGAGTGACAACTGCACCATCCTTTAGTTCTTTTTCTTTTTTTCATGTAACATGAGGATGACTTACTATATTTTCCAAAGGAAAATGATAACTTGCTAATGGTAGAGGAGGGTACAAAGACATCATTCTTTGGAAAGCACATGTTTCTTTCTGCATGTTCTTCATCATTTTTTTTTTTACTTTAAGGTCAATTATATTTAAAAAGACAGGTTCAAGCTGAGTGTGGTGGCACACACCTGTTATCCCAGCACCCAAGAGACCGAGGCAGGATGACTTCAAGTTCAGCCTGAACTACAGAGCAAGACCTTATCACAAAAAAAGAAAAAATGACAAATTCATTTTGGCTAACGGGGATAGAAGTTGAAAGGTCAAGAGGCCACATCTGGTGATGACCTTGCTGTCAGAGAGGAGAGGCAGAGCAGGACATTATGTGATAAAAGACTGGGAACACATATATGTCTCCAACATATAGTTTTCTTTTTGCAAAGAACTAAGCAGTTTGCACTCAGACTTTGACTAGAGATAGTAAAGAATTCAGAATTCAAAAGATTACTGCAAGGAGCAGAGAGCGGCACTCTTTTTTTCTTTTTCTTATTTCAGGGCTCCAGGAGGATCAAAGCCCTTGCACAGAATTTGAGATTCTCTTGGGGAGAGCATCATTCTTTTTTTTTAATTTTAAGAAATAAAAGAAGGAAAACATATTAACAACAGATATCCATTTACATAATAGCATAAGAACAATACAAACAATACAAAGTTACAGACAAAGTTGTAGGAAAT